CAGCTCCAGGTTCTCTGAGCTCTGTGTTACAGCCCTGCAGCTCCAGGTTCTCTAGGCTCTGCAGTTCCAGGTTCTCTGAGCTCTGTATTACAGCCCTGCAGCTCCAGGTTCTCTGAGCTCTGTGTTACAGCTCTACAGCTCCAGGTTCTCTGAGCTCTGTGTTACAGCCCTGCAGCTCCAGGTTCTCTGAGCTCTGTGTTACAGCCCTGCAGCTCCAGGTTCTGTTGTCGTAAGAGACCCAGAGTCAAAAACGCCTCTTGCATGACCCCTCACACATGAACCTCTGAGCGAATACAACTTGTACCTCTCCTCAGTGGGACCTTAAACCAACGAGCCTTGGCCACTTCCCCAAGCATGTTAAAGTGGCTAAGGCGCCTTGGTGCTCCTTCAGTCCTGGAATGGCTACCCTGTGCCACCCGACCCAAGCTGTGGCTGTTCTCTCCCAGCTTTCCCATGACAAACCCTGCTCTCAACCTCTGCTTCCTAGAGTGCGGCACAACACAGCAGTGCCGCAGGCCGAGCAAAGGTCACACCCACCCATGGGTATGGCACGGAAACAGGGGCATACATGTCAGTGAAGCGGAGCATCGGCTTCCTTGCTTTCCCAGAGCGTTTCCTCAGCCCTGTGAGGCGTAGCCCCCGCGCGGAGCTGCTGGACGTACACAAGCTGTCTTGTACTCCTCGGCTTCAGGCCGCTGCCCCGGCAGGGAGGATGCTGCCTGCGGCGCAGACCCTCACAATGGAGCCTCTGTGAGCGGACCCCAGAGCTGCCAGCCGCCCAGCCAGCGATGTCGGCACCGAGCCTCCCTGCCAGTCAGGCAGCACGCCGCGGGCAAGGGTGGCGGGGCTGCTAGGCCCACACCGCCATGGAAACTGGGAGGAAGAGGTGGAGAGCCTCCCTTCCTCGAGAAGGCCGTGTGGAAACCTCTCACAAGGACCCTTCCCGGCCTGATCGCAGGCAGCACAGAACTGAAGACTCACGGGCAAAGGATGTACTGTTTCCCAGGTGTTTGCCCTCTGACTTCTGCACTGCTTCGGCTAGTGCCATATTGTCAAAGCCGTGCTCACTGCCTCCCCTGCTTATCCTCCTCCTTCAGGAGCTCTGTGTCCTGGACCTAAAGCAGTGCCCTTGACAGTCTTTGACAGGAGATACCAGTTGATATATACAGTATTACAATTTAGAAACAGAATTTAAAATCCCGCTATCTTCCAAACAAATCAAATTCCAGCCAAACGTTTTGATGTTTACTCTTTACATTTCGTATCCAGCAATCCTGCAATCCTGCCTCCCTCTGTCACATGCTCTACACTTGGTCAGTGGGCTTTCCAGGACAGAGAACAGGGATCAGAGGCACTGAGCGTGCTACACAAGTGATGTCACCCCTTTTGAAACCTAGACAGTGTAGAATTCCCTACACTGAATTCTATCTGAATCCAACTTTCCCTTAAACCCTCTGTAATTAATCAGATACCACTTAACGTTAGAGAAAGCCATTACAACTTTGCTAACTGCCAAATGTGATACGTTGTATTCAATTAGCCTATTTAGGCTTCAATCCATATGCTGGTTCTGCTATGAATCACTGATAACTGAAAATCATCTTTAAATGATTTGAATCACGTTTTCACATTTGTAGGCTGCAGTATTAATGGATTATTCATACGATATGTTTTTAAAAACAGCATGCGATATCATCACACGAGTTTCCCTCTGCATTTATATAAAGGTAATTCACTTCATATAGCGGCAGTCTAATATGCACTAAAGTGTGCAAATGTAAATCAAATCTAGTTTAAAGACACAAACGCATTTAGCATGATCCACGTCAGCCTATGTACTGCAAACAAATGACATCCTAATCATTAATTAGGGCATTTCAAAGGTATGGAGATGCTGTATATATTACTGATTGCCAAAAGTCCGTTTTCCCATGACAGAAAAAATGAAGACTGCTACTGAAAAAAATTAAACACCAATCATCTCTTCTTGTAATTCACAACTTTTGAATGAATTCGCCCACGGTGGATTAAAAGAAGTATTTTATTTAACTGTCTGGTTTCTTACAGATTCCCACTTTAGAAAATATTCCTCAAGTGTTTTGAAAACATGAATTTCAACAAGATCATTTATAGACAGCTTCTGTTTATTATACTTATCTGTATAAATGAGCTTGATGAAGTTAATGTCTTATCTTTCATATCATCTATATAAAGTGGTTTTGAGATTGTAATGGCACAAATGTAAATTAGTGCTGTAACAGTAGCGAGTAAGAAGGATTTGTTTTCAAAGATCCTAACAGTCGTACTGGTTGGCGTGGTAGTTAGCACTCGGATCCTAGGATTCTGGATTCAATTCCAGCTTGGAGCATCAGTCTGTGTGGAGTTTGCATGTTCTCTCCGTGTTCAGGGTTATTCTAGAGACGTATGGGCTAGGGAGGTTTGCCCACTCTATACCGTCTTTTTTAATGGGGCATTCAAGGCAATTTCCTGCCTGCAGGGGGTTTTTCACAGTTCATCCAGTACTGGCTATATGGTTACAGAGAAATGAAACACTTTGGGCTGCATGCCATCCTCTCACGTGCTGCTTTTGAGATGATCTGGTGTTTAAGCCAGAAGAAAAGCCTCTTTTTTCCACACGATGTGGCTTGGTGGGTAACTCAAAAGTCACGCACACAGTGCCCGCGCACACAAATCGCGCGCCCACGTGCAGAATGTCCACGTTGCATGGCACCTCGGAGAGTAGCCCCGCACAGACCACAGTGCGCCATTCGTCCTGCCTGGCGGCTCATCCCTGACATCACTGCCAGCGGGCCTGCCCGGCTCACTTGGGGAGGGCGGGGGCAGAGCATTCCTCTGGCGAGGAGCTCTGGCCAGCTGACGGCTGCAGCCGTCGGTTTGTGAGCGTGACCTTATGCCACTTTCCCCTGACCCAGCCCAGTTCTGGCATCTGCCGCTGGCAGAGTTCCACCATGGAGCTGAGGGCGGGCAGTGCCAGGCTGGTTTCAGAAGGAGGGAGGCTTCTGTTACTCCTGTTAGTTCTGTGGCAGGCTGCGTGATAAGAGAGAAGAGGGCAATGCATTGTACTAGCGCAGGGGATGCCCCGCTCATGTTCATGGGCACTGGTACCACCCTGCAGCTTGCAAGGGTCACCTCCTGCGGGCTGCGGGCATGAGCGCGCTGGAGGGAGCGTGGCAAGGGGTGGCGCTAGGCAACGCCGTGAGCTGCACCAGCTTCCGCGTCACTCCTCGCACGGCACAGGCCCCGCTGGCCGGCCTGGTCTGTGAAAGCGTCGGTCTGATAAGGGACCGGACAGGAACTGACTCCCGCCTGCACTGAGGCTCTAATGTGCAGCTTCTGCCTCCTAGTCCACAACATGGCCGCTCGTTTCCCCCGAATAACTGCCTGCCACACTCTGAGCGCCCCGCGTCACGGTCCTGCCACGCGCAGCAGGAGTCTAGGCCTGAGCGAGGTCTGGAGAAACGAGCAGGCTCCCCTTCCTCAGAGCTCATGACATCTGTCCACTAGGTGGCGACAGATGAGTGCAAATAGGCCCCCGGCACTTAAAGGCGCAACAAGAGCAGAACTGACAGAATTATTCAGCGATTCAATTAGTATTTACTACCAGGGAAAGACAGTGTCGCCGCCTAAACAATGCAGTTGACTCTTACTCTCGTTTGGCATGTTAATGAGAACCACAAGTCCGTTTACAGTTGCCGTTCAAATCATTGCTTTGGAAGTGCTTTCATCTTTCCGTCATTATCTATCATTCTTGTAAAGGAGAGTCACAGCAATCGCTACCGGATGCTACTGGCTGAACATGGTCTCAGCACACACAGCTGCTGCTAAGACAAACCACTTCGCCAGGGAAACTGTGAATCCCAAGGAAGAACCAAGCAGGAGAGGCAGACATGTCATCAGCCTCGTCTTCTCAGAAGAAATCTGCCTTTTTTCAGTAGAGCTTGAGCTACGTTGCCGCACTGTTCCGAGACAACAAGACCCCACTCAGATGCTTTAATCTGAATCCCCCCTCCCTGGCAAAATTGGGAACTGAAGGCTCGGACGCCTTACAGTTGTAACATCTACTGACTATGCTGTAAGAACAGTAGTGTAAATCAGTGGTCCTATAATTCCATGTCAAAAGGCTTCGATCACTCCACGGCTCGATCGGTGCAATACAATTTTTTTCCTCACAAATTTGCACCAAGAGATGGGCAGGATTTGGGGCTGGCAAAAGCCATATTCAAGGATGCGGTATAGACCTCTCTTGAGAATACAATTCTTAAAAAGCCCTGCCTAAAATATTTTTTGATACATAATTTTTCAATTTTAATAAAACACAGTAATGTAATAAATAGAAGATACACATACAGTAAGAAGAGCAATCTTGTCCGAGGTTAAAAACTGAATTATATCTAACTGCAGCTGTCATTAACTGATGGCATTTTTCTGTGCTTGCCCTGGAGACAAGTTAAATCTGCACCCAACAGGTGTTTCTGTGATTGTTAATGTTTCTAATGGAAAACTGATACAGCTTCGTTAGCATCAAACTGGTTTCATTTATTTCTCAGTGACTCTCCTGCTTGACTTTTTTTTTTGGCAGACTTGGGAGACTCAGGGTGCTGAGGTTTCTGAAGAGGCAGCTGAGAGTACATGCCTTATTCAGGATGGGATAGGAGACAGACTCACCCCTTCGTTGGGAACAGCTGGAGTCCATTTATACACTAAAAAGCACACAGTGCCTTGCAGAAGGCTAAAACCGTTGTGTCTTTAAAAGGCCCTTGAACCCATGACCCTGAGGTCGTGGGCCCTGAGCCTATGTGGCAAGATTCCCCGGCTCCCCTGCAGTTCTGCAGAAATGCTTACCAGTGCCTCCATATTTGTCAGTCATGTTGATGTCAATGTCAGCTTTGAGGTCCAGCATGGTCCTGATTACATCATCGCTACCCTTCCCAGCAGCCCACATGAAGGCTGTACGGCCCTCCA